AGGAAAGCAACAAAAGTAGGTTCGACAGCTACAGTCGTCAGGAACAGTGTATTGATCATATCCCATATTACCTTTCGGGATTGTCGCGTGCACATTTTTTCCGACAACCTTTCTCGAAATAGCTGTATACACATCTTTAAAGCTTTTAGAAGTATTGCAATCGTATCAATCCTACCCAAAAAGAAAAAAATAACGATACCAATTTGTCAAGAATCCAAAATTTTCATACAAAATTCTGGTTTTATATAGTAATTCGAAATTGATTAAAATGTTATAGTGTTCCTTTCTGAAACGTGGTATGAAAGACACAGGGAGCGACGCTATATACCAAACGTGTATTGCTAAGTGTCTTTATAAGGCTGATTTGTCTGAAAATTTAGGCACAACTACTGCCCAAAAATGGAAACACGGGACCATGCATTTCCGGTTGAACTAAAAAACGACTGTGGATCAGGCACTGTACCGATTAACCCCCCGGTGGAGGGACTCCGCATGTAAAAGGGGTGGGGATGCTCGTCGTCTCGCTTAGGGGTGTAAATTTCGGATTTTGGTCTCACTTAGGATGGTCTGGGCAAAACGCCATCATATTAAGCCGTGAAGGTCTCGTTTAGGGTTGCAAGTGCAAAAATATAAAAATATGTGTATTGTCTGTGTTTTAACATGGTCTCTTTTAGGGGTCAAAAAAAGCTTAGGCTACGCACGGATCGGTCTCTTTTAGAGGTTTAATTCAAAATTTCCGACGAGCATCTCCACCTTTTTCATATGCGGAGTGCCCCCCCCGGGATTAACCCTAACATATGAATCTTGCACTTTCTTCATTTCAGGTGCACTTCAACCAGTTTTCCAAATTCTTCTTCTGAAAGTTCTGCTTGTAACTCGTGTTTTCTAGTACGAGTTCAATAGCGCGAGCTTTGCTCTGTGAACATACGGACCATTTAATCACATTGTAGATTTCTGACAGCACGCTACGACCCATAAGGTACGCAGCGGCTTGGTAGGCAATGTAAGAGCACTCCAAATGTACATGCAGCAAATAATCAGCTAGGACTCGAATCATCAGAAATCTCTGACCTTCAATCCCCCGCTTGACTAAAGATCCTGTCACAGCACTGGCCTGTTTGGTCGGTTTCCCCAAAATTATTATCAAAAGCTTCATGAATTTCTTTGCCTCATCGTCATCAGTGTAGAACTTTGGTCCATTTTTCCATTCCTTTACCACGAAATCGTAAATTGCATCGCTGTAAGTCTCATGCAGTCGTCCAGCCCAGAACAGACACTCCTTGAAGCAAGGGTTGGTGAGGTAGTTCTGATGCTCTAAGGAATTCATTTCTACAACATTGTCACCAATTGTGTTCCTGGGATGAAGAGTCAAAAATACATTGAACACTGCAAGAGCTACAGCACTACTCTCAGTAACTTTTAACTGATCTGCAGATAAATACTCTTCTAGTAGTGAAAGAATTAAACTCGGTGTTGGACTTTCTCCCGTCTGTGGAATAACTGAAGCTTCAGCTAGAGTCAAATGCAGCTTATCACGAGACTCTTTACTGATCAAAGCTTGATGTAGAAGCTGAGCCTTGTTAACAAGAGAATTAGCTTCTGGGCAGTTGTGGCTTACATCTAGCCTTCCTTGTTTCTTCAGAACATAAGCTAAAGCCATCACAAGGAAATTATATTTACTATTTTGAAGAATTTTTCCAAAATTATCCGTGACTCTTTGAGCCAGAAGGGTAAGTTGGGTATCAAACAAAACGGGAAGCGATTGATTGGTTTCAATGTATCGGCAAAGGTATTGCGTTACATTGTCACGTATGTCTCTTAGAGCGTGACATGTAGCCGTAACTTCTTTGGAAGATCGATGATCTATCATGTTATTCTTCGAGATAAAGTAATTTGGAAGACAATCTCTGGCATAGAATGCGATGATAAAGTCCAGGAGATTGAAAATATTTTTGGCTAAGCTGTCCTTGCCCCAGGACTCAGTTCCTTTCTCCTCGAGAAACCAAAATAAACTTGTTTTGAGATGGTACGAAGAGAACACGTCCAGCCCACGTAGCTTCATTTCATTCTTGATTAACGCCTTTAAAACTGAATAAGCCAGCTTTTGTTTCTCTGACAACGATCGGGCAAGCATTAACTCAGCTATAGAAAACGAAAATCTCCACTCAAAATCTCTCAAAACACTGCTGTGTGACCCAACGGGTACGATGTGACAACCTTGGGCTAATATTGTAGAAACCATTGCGGTGCTGGGCCAGAAATGTTCTCGTTTACGATGTACCCATTCTTCTCCTTGTGAAGGCCAGAATGAACATTTTAGACCATAAACGAAATCACGATTAACCGTGAATGTTCCCATCGTGTAAGGAAGAGAGAACGAAGGACCCGTAATTGAACCTTCTCCAGCGGTCATAAAAGCACCTCGGTTGAGTGGAATTAAATCCTTACTATCTTCGATGAATTTTAAGTTCTGGAGGCAGTGCTCTGGAACCAAATCTGCGTCGGCTGGCTGGGAGAATTGTTTCTTCGTCAAGTGTGCATAGCCAGCGTGTGAAGCATTGAAGATGTAAACAATATTTTTGGCTTTCTCTTCATTCGTCGAACTAATCGCTCGTTCCGCACTTCCGGGCTCGCTTCCAGGAAAGTCTTGCAATTCTTCATCACTTTTCTGGGTGGTTCTCTCTTGTAATTTCACTCCTTCCAGTAGTTTTAAATCAGTTCTGATAATCATATGGTCTGCATCAGTATTCCATGCGGTTAGTCTATCAAGATGAGGAAGAGAAAGACCTTCAAAAGCGCTTCCTGTGTGAATGACTTCAACATCGGGATTCCCAACGCAACATTGTTCCAAATCTTTTGCTAGACTGTTGATGTTTTCTTCCATATCTTCTCTAAAAATGTTGAAAAATGGCACTAAATCTAATGTTAAGGTCAAACACAACTCCTCTGGATCACCCATACTGTAGATTGTGAGATCGAAGATGGCTGGTTTTCGTACTTCGGTAGATTACTGGGAAATTGCACGGCATTATGGGTGATGGGAGTACATTTTCATGGGAAAACCGCAAATTCCGGTTGGAAAAACAAATGGTTTCCGTTTGGCAACCCTCAGAAAATATAGGCTGTGATTCGAGGCGATGTAATTTTTCTTATACTTGATTTAGTCTGTTCAGCTGATTTGGGTTTACTCTGTAGCGGATCGTTCTCCCAACAAGTCAAATTTCATGCTTTCTTGTTTATGCACAAGATTTTCACCCGGGTGGTTTGTGTTAAATGGTAAGCACCTGTCGAGGGCCTTTTGAACGTGCGGCGTGGCTACCAAGTCAAGAGCAACGACCATCGCTGGTTCATTTGGAAGAACACAGGCGACCCAAGCTCAATTGAGTATACAATAGTAATAAATTCCCACTGGGAGCCCTCACTCCCAAACGCCCCAGGCAAGGATAAGATATGTGAAGAAGCGAGCCCGGAGGCGAAAAGGAGCGGGAGCTACAATCCCGGACAAAACTACTTGAGAAAGTTTTCCCCATCATGTCCACTTCGCTACGCAACAAAACTATTTCCAAAACGACGCCTTTGCGGGAAGAAAACCCTTTCCTCCAATTCAATGTTGCTTCCCACAAACGCCCAGGGATCAGGCTTTCTTTTGAATACACAACAACATTGCTTTCAGGGGAAGGGGGAGAGGGAAGAACCGGTACAGCTACGATGTTTAGAAAAATGCTGTCCAAGTATACAATTTTCTCAACAGTTTTGTCCAAGACTGTGTAAAAGGTGATTCGCGTTTTCTAGCAAGAATATTTGCAAGGACAAAACAAAAACATGCTAATAAAAAGCAATTCACAGAAGCTGCATGTTTTCAGCACAAAGTTTCAAGCCAGAGCGTCTTCTCATAGAAAAGTACGACCTCATATACGTTTTTTGCAGCACCCTCTTTACTGCGCTTTTCACAAACATGCGAATTCTGAAGTTCAAAAGCCAACTGACGATTGCGTTTTTCGCTGCCGTCAATCATCTTAACGGACCTCTTAGGAAACAAACATTTACTTTAACAAGTTCAAAAGGTCAAGGTTTGTGATTTGTGATTGGTGGATTTCGATCTGTTTTGTGTGTTTCTGTGTTTCAAGGTTCGTTGCTTGTGCTCGTAATTATGATTGACGGCAGCGAAAAACGCAATTGTGAAGGCGGCTTTTGAACTTAAGAGTTCGCATGTTTGTGAAAAGCGCAGTAAAACAGTCATATTTCGCAATAGCCATACAACGTGTGCTAATTGTTACATATTTTCCTGTACTTCAGGAATGGAAGGCTCGGAAAATGTGAAGAGCAATTTATCTTTTTCAGAAGAGTCTGAACAAGACTTGTATGACGGTTCTCTTCGAAGAAAAGGAGTTCGTAGTGTTTATTTAGGGATATAATAGTCAATCCGATATGGAACCGTTTCCCGTCACGTGGAAATTGCTTCTCAGAGCTTATAATTGGTTAAACTATGGGTGTTACAGAAACTTTGTTTGTTAAAAGTCGGTTAACTTTTTATGATAATTCCATGGCAGGAGCCATTTGATGGGCTTCTGTCCATGGATATAATAATATTACGATTAACAAAGCATTGAAACGGTTAACACCATTTCCTTTTCAATAGAGAATGACCTTCTGATTCTTATTTAACTTCCCTGTTAATCGTTGTTAACCGTTGCTAAGGCTTCGCAGCCGCTCAAAAATGTCCTGTTAATCGTTCCGACTTGTAGATATTGTGGAGAGAAAAAGATTAGAAGTCAACTATGGCAACTTTTATCATGCCTTGGTTTACAAATTATCAATTTAGGTCATAATTTTTCCAGTCATATGTAACCCGAAGACAAAACGTGCACTTTTTACAGGTCACGCGATAGTACATCTTGTCACGTTATCGCGCGTGACATTTCTAGATTTCATAGTGTGTTTCTCTGGACTGGATATCGCTACAATGTCAAAAGTAAGCATGCAAATGTGAAAAGTAAAAATGCAGCTTAAATTTGTCACACAGACGCGAAACCCAAACTTGTCACACAGACGGAAAACCAAATTTGTCACACAGATGAGAAAACTAAATTTGTCACACAGACTTGTAACACAGACGGAAAACTAAAGTTGTAACACAGACGCGAAGGCTAAATTTGTCACACAGACGCGAAAACTAAATTTGTCACACAGACTTGTCACACGGACGGAAAACAAAATTTATCACACAGACGCGAAAATTAAATATGTCACACAGACTCGCCACACAGACGGAAAACTTAAGTTGTCACACGGACGGAAAACTAAGTTGAAACAAAGATGCGAAAACTAAATTGGTAACACAGACGCGAAAACTAAACTTGCCACACAGACGCGAAAACTGTAAACCTGTGCACAAACGCGAGAACTAAAACTAATAACACAGAAGCGAGAACCAAGCTAAAAGACCAACAACGCGTAGCCCGAAAAACGCGCGAAGGAAAACGAATTCAAGGACAAGAGAAAACACTAACCTCCTGAGCCGCAGGTTGGGGCACAGGAACCACGTTGTCGTTAGCGTTCTGTGCGTTTTTGTCACCGGCAGCGTAAGCTGGAGCCGGAGGCGCGACAACTGGAGGGTCAACGGCCGCTGCAACAGCCCCATCCGCAGGAACAACAGGGACTTGGTCCGGCATGGAGAACAAAGAATCAGGAGAATCTTCGAAGATGGCGCAGCGATGACCGGGCAAGAGATAAAGAACGCCAAGCTAACGACTGGCGAACGTTTAACGAAAAGAGAATTAAACAGGCCAAAACAGGCCTATTTATACAAAACCTGTGTGAAACAGAACACCTAGGAGACCACAAGCGCGCGGGAATTTTTATCCTTGAAGGACCGCAGGGATTTGGGGCGTTTGTACGAGATGGCCCCAGTGAGAATAGCGGGAGCGATTATAAACATACCCGTGTGAAATACCTCCCTGGAACTCCATGGAATTCCATGGAATTCCATGGAAATCCATGGAAATCTATGGAAATCCATGGAATTCTATGGAAATCCATGGAATTCCACGGAACATCCATGGAGTATCCATGGAGTTCCATGGAGTATCCATGGAATGCCATGGAGTTCCATGGAGTATCCATGGACTTCCATGGAATGCCATGGAGTTCCACGGAGTTCCATGAAGTAGTGATGGAGTTCCATGGAATACCATGAAATTCCATGGAGTTTCCTTGGANTGGAGTATCCATGGACTTCCATGGAATGCCATGGAGTTCCACGGAGTTCCATGAAGTAGTGATGGAGTTCCATGGAATACCATGAAATTCCATGGAGTTTCCTTGGAGGTCCATGGAATTCCAGGGAATATTGTAGAGTTCCATGGAAATGCTTCCCACTCTAGTTTCCAAAAAATCGTAAGGGGAATCGGAATGCTGTTTTCACTGAACCACAACGTTCTACGCTTCTGATTACGCCGGCTTCGACTCTTTCAGTACTCTAGTATGAAAGGTTTCAAACGGTGAAAATGCCAAGATGACCCTTCGATAAGTTTTTGTCAACAAGGTTTTCCAAATCGAATTAGTCTGGAGAGGAACCTTAAAATTGTTGTGAAACAAGATTATGGCCTATGAGCGTCGTTGTATACATACCGCTAGCAGTTCCTGAGAAACTTCTGTTGAATCCTTGTGAGTTGATCTTGGAGACATTGTCAGGACTCGTACCATGGAACAATTGCCGCTCATTATTTCCGCCGTTGTCTTTGTCCATTTTCTGCTTTCTAAGCTGGTACGATTGGTATAGATGAGGATTTTGTATTCTTTCAATGCCCGATATAGAATAATTTCCGACAGTCTGGTAAAGTGTAGTCGCCACAGCCTGGTACTCAACCGAGGTAGGAGCAAGATTTACCGCGTGTACAGTGACGCCAAATCCGGCTTGGTTGCGAGGCATTGGCTCCCAATTTTTAGGAAGAGACATTACTATAAGTAGTTTAATAGACTTCGTTAGTAGCTTAGCCTTTGGGTTAACACTAGGTTAGGGTTGACATCGTTTTGACTGTAAAACTTGCTGTTTTTCTTGCGCAAAGCGATGAGCTCATTATTTCGTGTATAAGGCCTTTTAAGTTACGTAAGAAAACCAAACAGTTCAGTGTGGCCAAATTCTACACACAATTGTCACTTGGGTCACATTTTGAAGAAAAATCTTGATCTTGCTATATCTGTGGGTGGGACCTTTTACTAGTTTATTAGGCCGGAAAGCTTTAACCCTTTAACCCTTTCTATACATTTCTTAAAAGAATACGTTGAGAGAGTTTGATAAAAGATCAAAGCATTTTCTCTTTGGTGATCATTTAATTAATTCTCATAACCTAATCTCTTGACATTGTATGGATATTGTTAGGAGAAAATGATGTTGGTCACTATTGGGACTTAAAGGGTTAAAGTAACTTGAATGAGCATTTCGTTTGCGTTTTCAAAGCTTTAGAGGGTTGTTGTCCATGGACGAGCCTTTTACCTACAACCAAGTAATTCTGCGCGTACAGTAGTAAATCTAACCAATTCCAAGTACGCGTATAAAATGAAAGACATAATAAATACTACAAATCTCCGTATGCGAACTAATATCAAAACAAAAGACGGTTAACCTGGAAAATTGGCGTTTTCTGCTTCCCTTTTTCTCTCTGTCTGCTCATTCAGTTTGTGCCAGATCTTCCCGACTATTTCTGCCACTTTACTGTGCTCACCCTGGACAACAAAACTTTTATCTTGTCCCTTAACCTTCAAGATCAGTTTGACATCACGTGACTTGGCGTCCTTGCTTAGATCACTGAGCTCGTTGTTAGACAGATCACTGACGTTTTTGTGATTGACCACCTGACTTGTAAAAGCTTCTGCAATGCCACGTCTCAGCGTATCCATGGCTCTCTTTACACCAGCTTTACTGGGTCCTGCTACATGAATTACGAGTCTGTTCTTGTTGGACTGGTGTGACTGTGCATCTTGCTCTGTCTTGATCTTTTTTCTCGGTGGTTCGCCTGTTGAACTTGGAACTGGTTGTGTATTGTCTGGTTGGTCCATAAGCTTTTTTTCGTCCAAGAAAGCCTGCATCAAACTGGCCTGGAACAATACGATCCTAACGTGACGCAAGTTCATACAGTTCTCTAAAGAATTTTTTAAAGCTCTGAATGTTAATTGGGCCGAGTCGACACCCGCAATTCCACCCGCTCCAGTCCCCACCGCGGGCAATGAGATAGTCTTTAATCCTGTTGTGTCAGCCAACTGAAGGCATCCTTCAAGACACTGCTGGAGGTGATTTTTGTCAGAGGAATTTACAACCATGTGAACAATGTTTGGCGTTGCCAGGTTACCGCCACTTGTTATCACCGCTGTCCCTACAGGCTGCTGGCCTAAGCTTCTACATTCGTCTTCCACTTGCGCACCGCTGGCCCTAGCTATTGCTTTACTGAGGTCTCCGGCGGAATTCATATTCATGTCTGTGTGGATGATGTTCACAATGGCCTCTGTGGTCTCTTGTGTGAGATCGCCTTCAAAGACAAGAAAAATTCGTGATTTGCGGCAGCAGGCAGTTGGTAGCAGTACTTACCGATTTCTGCCTACGGCTTTTCGGCAAGCACCAGAGTTCCCTTCAAAGCCATGAAAGGCCTGGGTATTAATTTGAACACTAGTTTGACTTTCAATAACCATGTAATAGCCACTGTCTCCACTTAAGCCCCGTTTATGAGGAGAATACCTGTCCTGGGTTGATATGTCACCCTCCCGGCTAATTAAGTCAACTTTAACCAGCGTTTATATGGGGAAAAAAGGATAGTGTTAATGTTGGCTTAGGGGAGGGGTAGGTGGGCAGTTTCCCAGAAAGGTAAAATGATCCAACAAAAGTTGGCCACGTCGCTCGCACATGCTCTAATTGTCTCGCCTTGCCCCGGAGAGCTTGCTAGCAGGCTACTCTTGACCGAGTTGACTCGGCTGGGCGAGCCAAAGTGTATATAGGGAGAAAAGTCGACCCGGCTAGGAGGGTACCCGGCCATCACAAAAAGCGAGTAACCGGGTAGGGGGTCACCCTTCTAACCGAGCTAACCAATTGTTTCTCATCAGAAGCATATAACCCCGAGGACACGCAAGGTCGCGCCATCAGTCAAGCACAACAACTCCATATTACAGAGTAAATTTTGATTAGTTCGTTAAAAAAACTCAGCATTGGAACAGAGTTATTCGCTTTCGGGGTTACATGCTTCTGTTCTCAGGTAAACGGGAAAACACGTTTTGTAAGGAAATGTGGAAAAGTTGGCCCTTGAGTTGGTGCAAAGTAGAACACTACCTTGTAAGCCATGGAAAGTATACGTAGTACCTCCGAGGCGAAGGAGTTGAGAAGTTATCACAAGTTCTGAGTGTGCAATAAATTATAGAAGAATTCCATTTGACCAAGGCCTTCGGCTTAAGCCTCGTTTACAGGTATCAAGGCATACAAGGCACTTGCATTGGAATGAGGGGGGATTAGCTAGGTGGGTAGCGTCACATTCTATTATGAATAACAAATCAGTTAAAAGAAGAGTGTCTGTGAGAGCATAGTTAGTAGAAGTGAAAGCAACCACAGCAAATGTCAAAAGGCACGGCAAGACTCTCATCCAGCCAAATGGTGGTTTTTCTTTACAAATCAGCTTACAAATTAAACTTCAATCCTTTTTTAAAGTCCTGGCCCCAGTTGTTCAAAAAGTGGATAAAGCTATCCACTGTTCTGGATAAATATCTGTCCACTGGATAGTTCAATTAGTTTCCCAGATAGTCATCAGTATCCGCTGGATAGTGATTTATCCCGTGGATAGCTCTATCCAACGTTTGAATAACCGAGGCCTGATAGTGATACTTGAACTGCCAAAATGTTTCATGTCACTTCAAAAACTGAGAAATTCAAGTATTTTAACAACTTTACCTGTAACAACCTCTACCGTCTTGCGATATTTATTTTGTAAGCTCGTTCCTTCTTGCGTAAAAGCATCGATGAGTCCCTGATCTCCGTGATACAAAACAAATCGAACATCTTTCACTGAGATGAGGGGGTTATTTTGGCACACTGTTACCGCTTCATCCAACATTATCCTGCTCGCTTCGCGCGGAGGAAAGCACAGATTTCCTGTTCCAATTATAGGAAAGGCGATCGAATCCCCCCCGAGCTCGTCAACCTTTAGAATAGATGCCCGCACAATGGATCGTAAAGTCTAAAAATTTAAGAGCAGAGATAATTAAACGATAAGGATTTCAGAAAAAAGAAAAAGAAGAAATACTAAAATTTTAATAATCTTTTCATGTTGTCCTTCAGCAGCATGATTTTAAAAATAAAAATATTGTTCTAGTGAGGCCCTAAACGACTGATTAAATTACAGTCCAAGCTTTCGCCTATCAACTGCATCATCAGGGATGACAAAATGTTCCGCGCGACGCTATGTATATACAATATAAGTGTAAGATAAAATGTGTAAGAGCGTAAAAATGACATGAAGTATGTATGAAGGGTACAGAAATAAAAAAGAAAAATGAATAAAATATACATAGCGTCGTGCGGAATATTTTCGGAATACAATTCACTTACCACTTCTCCGTTGCCTCCATCCCACTTAGAACAACACGTATGTAACACGTGACTACATGCCAACTGGTAACCAGGGGTAACTACGATTTCCCCCGGCTGTGGAGTGTGAAAGATTTTTACAATGTCCGGGCCAGCAGCAGCGAATATGGCTTTTGAACAGACACCTTGGGAGCTAACAAGTGTATGGGCCTGAAAAACAGAGTTATTTGTTACGCGTTCAGTTAAGTATCTTGGGCCACGCCACGAATAATAAGGAAGAGGGCAGGGGGCTTAAAAGAGAGGGAAGGTTAATTATTTTTTTCCACAGAAAAGGGGGAGGGACTTGTTTGAGATGAAGCGCTTAATACGGAATTTCGGTAATGGGTTGGCGATTAAAANGGGGGGGGGGGGGGGGGGGGGGGGGGGGGGGGGGGGGGCACATGGGAGACCCCATCAATATCTCGAAAAATTTTCCCGTGTAGAGCAACCAAAGAGCGAGATCGCATACCCCGGAGCAAGCAACTCTAATAATAGGCTACGTCACGGTGTTTTAACGACTGGTTTATTCTATCTTAGAGCACCTTTTCAAACTTCAAAAAGGAATGGTCCCCTTCGTTTATAATTGTATTCGACGTAAGAAATATTAAAAGGAAAACTTAACGTCATTAAAAGGTCAAAAATACCATTTTGAGGTCTGTAGGTTTTGCTGACTGATTTGTGGGACTAGAGGGGTATTCTAAATTCGCGCCAAAATTGTTCTAAAAATAAACTGGTCGGTGAAAACACGCGTACGAGTACATGGAAAGTGTTTGCTCCGGGTTATGTGCTCCTGAAAAAAGCTAACGTTAGGATGCCTTCCCCTTCGTCTAAAGCGTGATTAGTTTAGTGATACGTTTCTAAGTATCACTCACGAACCTGTTCAGTAGCGATATCTCCAACCTTCCAAGAGACCTTGTGTCCATGTTGTGTTATTATGACGAACGAATCCGCTGACTTGACGCTTGGGTTGCCGCCATTAGCTGAAACACCCCCAGTGCCGATGGACGCTTTGGAACCGTGGGTGTTGCTTCTAATCCACTTGTGCTAGAACTAGAAGACCTCTTATGAAGATATTTTTTTTCAAGGCGTACGTAACACTTCTCTTCGTTATTGACAATCCTGGTCAAACTATTTAATCTGCCATTTGCAATGTAGGTTGCGATCCCGGGCTGTTTGAAGTCATAACTGTCACAGACAACTCTATCAATGAGAACTTGAACCATCTCCACCGCATCTGCTAAGCCTTCCCCTATTCCCGTTAAAAAGATCCTATCCTCGGCTCTTGTTTCTTCGATCACAACACAACATCTTCTAATTCTTGCTGTCCTTTCTATAGCTTTGAGCTGTTGCTGACGGAATTGTGCTATGAACTTGAGAACGTCCTTCGAACATGGCAAATACACAGTCTGGAGCGTGCCATCATCTTGTATGCTCTGAGGCACGCTCACCAACATTCCGAACGCGTATCAATCGACGTTCTATACGGAGAAAATGGACAAGCAAAACGTAAGCCACTCAGTGGTTTGAAATATGTATTTTTCTTCACTGCTCAGAGCTTGTTCTAGGCGTTCAGATAGTACAACGCGCGCGAAAAATTGACGAAGAAAAAAAGCCGTGTGTAAAATTTCCGCATTAGCTTGAGCAACCTTCTCCTCAAGGATTTTCACTTAGAAAATGTAAAGGGTTGCGCTTGATTCACAGGGTAAATTGTTTTAAAATTTCTAAGTTTTATCAAAATTTGATTTACTGCGAATAATAGACGGACAGTTTTCATTTTCCCGTGACAGATCGCCCAAAGTGATCCATTGCACTGAGCCCTAGAAATGAGCTTTCCTTTCAAGTCAACATCAATCACATTATGTCTGAGGCCCGTTTCAGACGTCGTGCTACTGCCGTGCCGAACTAAATTGATCGAATTAAATTCGAATTTAGCACGGCAGTAGCGCGAGGTTTGAAACCAGGTCGTGCTACTGCCGTGCCGAACTCAATTAATAAATTAAGAATACATTAGAATACATTTAAAAGTTTGCTAAACCGCTTCTATGTTTTTGTGTTTTGTTTTTGGCAACTGCCGTACTATTCGACTGGATTAAATTCGACGTCTGAAATTACGTCGTGCTAGTGTTGTGCTGCAGTCGAGCTACAATCGAGCAAGCTTAGCACGACAGTAGCACGACGTTTGAAACAGGCCTGAGGGACAAAACGAGGTGCTGAGTAAAACCGTCGAGTAGGAAGTGTTGGATCCACCACCTCTTCCATAAGAGTATCCATCTCAGCAGATCAGGCTCAGTTTTGTGAGAATTCAGAAGTGATAACCACAGGCTGCGAGCAAGCTCTCTGGGAAGCTCTTAGGAGCGGAAGGTGTGTGTGTGTTGGGGGGGGGGGGAGAACAGAGGGGCCCCTTGCCAAGAGAGCT